TTGTACTGGTATCTCTAGGAATGCCGGGAGCTTCTGGGCAAGCTTTTACTTTCGTTTTTCTCCTCCCCAGTCCACGGTACCCCCATGCATAGATCAATGCTGCCGCACATCCGAAAAGTTACAAGTGCCTAGAATCTTTAAGTATATACAGTTTACATTGCTTCTAGATATCTAACTGAATAAAAATAGTCCACTTTCCACATTCCACTTTCCAATAGTGCACATGAAAAGTGACGAATTCAATTAACAGCATTGATTACGTGCGTGTCAGGTGTCACTGGTCGTGCCCTCACTCCCCACGATAACCCCTGCGATATAAAAACTTATTGTTATGCATAAAAACACTGGGCTGCGCTACATGCCAGCCGCAATCGATTTCTTAGACCGGCGCGAGTTTTTGTTCGTGTGGCGAATCATGCGTTGAGGGAGTTCATGCAGCTCTAGATGTTTAAAATACCCCGTCTACGTTGAGGAACGGGTCGTATTATGCGCTCCCGTTTACAAGTCTGTATTTTTTTCGCTGCTGTGCGGCGATTATCTAGCCGATTATCTAGTCGCCCTGCCGGACCAGCTGACACAAGCAAGCAGTCGCCCGGTAGATTTTCTAATCGCCACTGGCGACTGGGCGACCGCTAGTTTCTCACGCTGTTACTAGATTGTGTTTCACTGGATATTTTGATTTACTAGGTATTCTATGAAATGAAACACCTTTCCCCATTCGATGTCGCTCACTACCGTACATCCTAAATTACAACGCAGTAACTGACCATTTCTTACCAATACAACATGCACAACAAACAATACAAAATAGCCACAGGCGACCGCTTTTGCCTACCAGCAGAGCTATGTTTACACACGTGACCTGGACGTGACGTCACGCTAAACGCTCCTATACTACTACTAGGTACGCCTAGTCAAAAACTTCTTAAATTATATTTATAAATTATAAATGAAACTTTAGTTAGACGTTTTAGTGTACTTGTAGAATGTCGCAGTTTGTGGACATTTAACGCGTCAGGTAAGTAGTGGTGTGAATACTGTCCATATTGTGACACTGAACACAGAACAGCAACGGTCGTAACTGGGATTACCGGGTATCCTCCCACTGCATTTAATATGATGATTTATAATGAATGTCAACAGGGAAATATAGCTAAACTTTTAACTACAATAACGGTTCTAACACTACGTGGAACATACCTGCACATGCTCCTGAAAGCGGATTGGAAACTGTTGCGACATACCCCGTAAACGTCTTATTCAAACTATACGTATATTATTAAATAAATATGTTTTAAGATGCTTTTCGCTACTGAAAAATAGATATGTGCCAACTAGTTTCCAATATGGCGACCTCCGTCAGCAGGAACTACCGCCCGGCAAATAGTCCCAATTTATGCTGACTAATTATCAACATAAAAACAAACTACTAATCGCCATTCACTAAATAATGTTTATTTTAAAAGTTATTATATTATTAGCAGGTCAGTGGCAAAAACTAGCTAATCTTAAATAGCACTCGGTAAAGGTGTAATTCGGTTAGTTTCCTAACCCTGTAACGTGGTGGCGCCGCTTGCTCTTGCTGCTGAATTAAACACTTGAACAGCGATTCCACGTGTCGTCAACTCGGCGGTGGAAGTGAAGCAGGTTTACTATTACTAGGCTGCTTTTATACTGTCTAACCATTAAAAACTTCTTACTAGGTAAGTATGGGTTTACGAATGTATTTGAGTAACTTATACGTCAATCGTAGCTTTACGTTTATCGTCTAACTATAGTGTAACAGTAATACTAATAGTAATATCATATTTCTGCTAACAAAACTGTCCATACATTCATGTTTGCTGATTTTTAGCGAGCTTGCGACTAAATGCGAACGGTGAATTGACCGTTTACTGCTACAGGTTTCTAAGCTAGTTGTCATAACTATAGCAAATGCAGATATAATGAATAATTGTATTAGGTAAAATAAATTTTTTATTGACAAACAAATTATCACTGACTTTTAGTAATTATTGTTATTATTATTTCTTATTTTAAGACTGGGTTATATTGACGTAACTTTGTAAACGACAAATAAAAATTAAGTAAAAAAAAACCTGCCATGTAAATAGATTAATTTGCAAGATAACATTCACTCACTTACAGGTCTCACTCACTCACTCTCACTCACTCTCACACTCACACCCACTCTCTCTCTCTCTCTCTATCTCGCTCTATCTCTATCTCTAGCTATCTATCTATCTCTTTATTTAACATTGACAAGTCGAGGATGCAAATTAACAGTGGCAGAGCAAATAGTGATGTTGTCAGCATGGGGAAACATATTCATTGACATGATGGTGCTGAGGACTTTTGACATGTTTGATTCGCTGGTTGCATGCATGGTTACTCTAGCATCTAAATAACGTGACCCCCTAAACAATTTTGGTAATGTACACTGAACATCTTGCTTGTCAGACCAATGGATCAAAAATGCTAACTTGCTGGCCAAAATTTCCAAGTCGGTAAACTATTAAATGTGCAGAACGACTGCTGGTAACAAGTCACTTGCCTAATAGTAATATATAACATGAAACACGGTGGTGACTCTCGGCCACGAAGTTATCCCTTCGCTCGGCTTGGTATTGCTCTCATCTATACTATTACTACAGGGTGAAAAACTGATAATTGGAGGCACTGGTCCAGCAGGACCAGTGCCTCTGAGGAAGCACTGGTCCTGGTCAGTAGGCACTGGTCCAGGATTTCCAGTGCCTCTGAGGAAGCACTGGTCCTGGTCAGTAGGCACTGGTCCAGGATTTCCAGTGCCTCTGAGGA